ACAACAACCGCATTTAGATTTGCTATAGAGATACTAAGTTGAATGTATTTAATAATATTTATTGATTATTTCCCAAGTTTTGTAAATGTTTGGACCTTTTTGTATTATGTATTAAATCTTTAGTATAATTGTTTTTGTTGTATACAGTTAGCTGTAGGAGTACGAAATAAACAGTGCTCATTAAAATAAGACGCCCTTAACTCGCTAGCATTGGAAATGCTGGAGACTACGTAGAATCGAAATTGTTCGAACAAGTTTCCTGTAAATTTGATAGCGTAATGCGATCTTGAGATATAAACGCACACATCCTCAATGCGTTGTATAACAAGCCAGACAGTAATTTACCTTTCTTGTTTCTCTTTATAAATTTTTTAGATGCGTTCTTAATATTTTAGTATTCTGTATATACCCTGTGTTTGAATTTATTATATAGATAATTGAGTTATTTTAGTTACTTATTGTATATTTACTTATGATGTCTGTATGTGTTAATAGCGATGTAGTGTAAGTGGTTTCAGCCTCTCTCATCCCTGAGGTCGTAGGTTGGAACCCCGGCTGAGCACCAATGGTATTTAGGTCTATGAGCATTCAACACTCGCTTGTACGGTAAGAAAAATCGTGATTAAATCGACATGCTTAGACCGTGTCGACAGTAGTGTGTAGAAAAAATTCGACGGCGTGTGTCAGGAACTTAACTTGTGTCAGTCATAAAATTGACCTAGAAGGTTGTAGCGCCTCTGGTTTTGAATTACGCACTTGACCACAGCAGCTTATTTCACTTGAGGCTAGACGTAGAGAACGTAGGGGCTATTTTTTTATGTAATAGGAGGCAAACGGGCAGGATGCTCACCTGATCTTAAGTGATACCGCCCATGTCACATTGCCGTGGCACGCAATTAAATATAATAATATTTAAGTGCGTAGCAATAAAAATGCTCTCTATATATAATAAATTCATAGTCCATAATATGGGAGAGATGTAACTGTTTCACGAGAACCGTGGATCAAACTTCTAAACTGTGAAAATTATTCTGAGAAAAATAGATTTTGCCAAAATGACGAAAATATAAACCACAAAGATACGAGGCAGTTTTATCTGTGAATAGATAGGAATGGGACTTACGAAAATAACATAGACGACCAATTTAAATAAATTTATTTCACGTAATATCATTGTAGGTTTGTGAAAATATTCTTGTACGATGAATTACTGACGTGAGGTGATAGGTTTTTTTAGTAGCCCTCTGTGTGTGATGGCAGGTTTCTCTATTCATGAAATCAGCGCGTTCAACCAAAACATAAGGGTGGAACACGTTTTCAAATAATATCCGGAAGGATGCTTGTACGTAGAAGGATAGGGCTATGAAAAAAATGGACTCGAACGCAGTCTTTATTTTTTATTCAATTAGCTATATTTTTCTAATTATTTCTTTTCCTTACAGGAAGCCCCCGCATCCTGCAGCCAACGTCTACTTTGTAACTTTGTCGCAGAATATTTTTTCTTTGCAAAAATCTAAATCAAGTCCAGGAAAGCGTAATATTTATGCCCATTGTACATTAATTTATCTACAAATAGCCGTGCTAACAAGGCCATACACCAAAATACAGGATAGAAAATATAAATTTTGCAACCATTGTATGTTCTCGATAACAGATGCGGACAGCGTACACAGCATACCAATGTTCACAATCAATGAGTCCACACAGACAAACATTACTATAGGATCACAAAACAAAAGACCTCAAATTGCAAATTACAAATTCCAAACTTCAAATTACCTCCAATTACAAAACAAAGTGCAAAGATAGTACGAAATATAGCATAAACTATATAAAATTGTTGTAAAATGTTTACTTTTAATTTTAATAGCTGTGCGCATATTTTTAATGTCAAACCAAGTCTGTTTATGATACAGGCGTTGCAATGGCATAAGAACAAATTAAAATGAAATCTATTGCGACTATATATTTAAATTACACCGTGTTTAAAAGCACTCAGCTGTCATGCGATTGTAAAGAATATTAATCTTTGCCCCATCTGTTGGCCGACCCATTACTTATAAATGGCACACGAAACGCCATCACTGACGTAGTTGTTACATTTGTAATATAATAATATTTTAACGAGTTTTCAAACTATGCCTTGTGTGTTTTGTAAATAGCGTAATGATTTCTTTAAATCTGATAAAAAGTTTTGACGTCTCTTAATTATATTTGATTCGGTACGTTATTAAATTTAGATGCAAAACTAAATACAATTGAAATAGAAAAAGGATGTAGAAAAAAATTCTGTAAAAATATAGTAAAAATGTCTCAGGGATTTTAATATATCTTACCAATATTGAGATTAAATAGGTCCTTTTAATGGGAAATATAAAATACCGCATAAAATTAAATATGTATTTTTGTTCATACATTTATTTTCACCAAAAATAACATCATGAAACAACAACAGACAGAATTAAATTATACTTAGGACGGTTTAAAATATTGAAAGTTTATCCACATATATTACTTATTTCTACGTCATTCACAATACAATGTTACATTTTAGCTTACCTAATCACATGTTTAAATAATTCGATATAAATCAGTAAGTTTAAAATAATTTGTTTCAGAGATTTAATTTATAATAATTCTTATCTTAAAAATGTAACGATTTAATCGTTGTGCTTCCTTTTCTTGTATTTCATAACATTTGAAGTGATGTTCTCCACGTTAATTTGCGGCTTAACTTTGGCTAACTCCTGCGATACGTGTTCCATGGCTGCTGTGGTTGCGTCATTCGGGTTGTTTTGAAAATAATTCATCAATGTTAAAAACTGTTCTTTTAAGTTTTTAAGAGAATTCATGTGTAATTCGATTTGGCAGAGCTTGCGTTTGAAACCGGGACGTTTACAAATGAAATTGTTATTTTTTAATTTGTCGGCTGCTTTCAGTTCAACTGAGTCTGGAGCTTTCCTTATAGCTTTGATGTTATTGTTTTTAAATTTCTTGAAGATATAAATATGTGGTTTCTGTGTGACATCGTACTCCGATTGATCCACCGTTGTGTCTTCTGAACGTTCAACATCGCAATCCCTCTGGTACTTGTTCAGGAACACAGTATTTTTCTCTAAGTCTGTAGTACTTTCTATAGCCTCTTTGAATTCTTCGTCTTCCATAATTTCACATTTTATATTTTTGTCATTACTTAAGCCGACAAATCTCATCAATAAGTCTACTTCAATGTTTGTCAATAGTGGAATGTTGAGCGTTCTGACTGAATCCTTGTTAAATATGATGCCTAGATGGTCACACAGTCGTCCTTGCCTTCCGATAGGGCAGTCACAACAAATCGTGTCAGTTTTCACATGATAGTACAAGTTAGGCGATGATTGATACTGGACCAGATACTCGTTTAAACGGATCTGCACAAATTCGACATTTGAACAATCAGTGTAAGATCGGTGAAAGAATTTCGTGTAATGTAATATTTTCGGCATCCCATCAATGTATGTGTTGATCACTGCTTTCAGGTGATTTTCCAAAAGCTTAGACACGACGTCGATCATCATAATTATATTAAAAAATCTGCACTCTCGCAAAAAAAATTCCTTTATAAGCCGAATTGATATGTCCATTAAAAGGTTAAGTTGAAAGTCATCTTTAACAATCCATTCGTTTGATCGTCCCCAAATGTAGTCAATATATTTATGCAACTCTACCTTGGAATCAAAGTAATTACTCACCAATAATTTGGTGTAATGTGTCTTAGCAGTATGAGCGCTTGCATAAATCAAAGATTTAAAGAGAAACATAAGCGAGTTTCTCCTACGGTGGTCGATCTTAAGATCGTCGCTACAGAGCCACTTCCAAATCTCGCAACAGATGGACCAACGAGATGCAATGATCTTTGATTCTGGGAAAAATTTGGATAATGCACTCTTCTGTTCCACCAAATCATTGACGATAAATATTTTTGGGTTGAAAATGTTGTAAACAAGTGTGTTTATGGTCAATTTTAACATTTTAAAAGCGCCCTTGAAGTTGGATTCAGTCGCTGCTGTGTGTAGAACGCATGCGATAGGCAAAGCTCCAATTTTGTTAGAAATGTATAACATTGTCACAACTAATCCAATTTTGACGAGGCTGCTGTCTACCAATACGCAATTCAAATTATTATTCATCATTACATTTTTCATCAGTGGCGTTATTATGACGACAATTTCAGGATTTTTAGTGTACATTAGTGTGCCGCCGGAATCGTTGATGTAAGCCTTTTTAGCCTCAAGTATATCTCTGAAACTGCGCTTTATATCCTTGCTTTGCATGTTGTCAATCAAACATTTTATATGATTAATACTTGGGTTTATATCTTCGTCTGCAAGGTATTGAGAGGATCTTGTACCATATTTTTCTATCAGATATAATTCGTGGTAAGTTTTCGATGTAGTAGCGTTGAAGCCGTTATCGAAATAGTCATAAAATTTTTTATGAGTGTCGGACATAGTCTCGTCAAAGGCTGTTGAAGTATAAACGCTGTGAGAGTGGTTGAAATCTATCGTGATAAATAAATTTAAATCAGTGGTCTCATCTATTAATTTTATCTCAAATTTGATTTGTGCCTTACACACGGTTTCCGCTTCGTCCTTCTTGCTTTTAGTATAGTTGATGGGTTGACAAACACAATTCTTTTGAAATAATACTGTCTTCATCTTAGTGTACGAAATTTGAGCCGTCCATATAGTGGCTGTAAACATCGAAAAGGCCTTTATCCACTTGTCTATGTTACTTTTGTGAAGCTCAATTGATTCTTTTTTTTTTATTATGCATTTAATTTGTATTATGAACTTCTCGGCACTTGAAAATTCAAATCTTATAAATTCTCGATTCGGCGAGATGTTTTCGAGGTATTTTTTAAGTTGCTCTTCGGTAAACATTTTAAAAGTTTAAATGTCACGTTGACGGTTGGTGGCCGCTCAGTGTTGTGAGCGCCTCGCGTCGCGTCAGAAAGCAAAATGCAGTTGTTACATCTGTGCGAACGAAGTGCAATCGATGATACAGTGCGTTCATTGCGCATGCTTGTCTTACCCTGGACGCCCGGCCGCGGGGAGTGGGTGTTACACAGCCTCTCATATCTCCCGTGGCAACAAGGGTATGATTAGGTGCACACATTTATGAAGTAATTTTAATTGCACAATATGATATGCAAATATATGTATCAGAATATCTTTAATTATTTTTGTATTGAAACGAAATTACTATCATCTTGCATGTCTCATTAATTCTTTGTTAATTATGAGGATTGCTATGCACGTTACTTTGGAATTCATGAAACTTGCATAAATAAATTACTCTAAATAAATATTTCTCTTCAAAACTCTTATACGTTTTAACAATATTACATTTTAACTATCTAGATCTGTCCTTTGTATCTTGCATGGACACACAGGTGTCATAAATCTGGTATTTATGGTTTCTTTATTAACGTAGAATATATCCTGTATTAAATTATATTGACAATTCGTACAGTTACAGAAAATATACTGAGAACTCTATTGTTTAAAACAATAGTATTAAAAAACACTCCACATCCTTTATTAACGCTTTAGAATTTAATTTAAAAATAAAGCATTAAAATATATAGAAGTTTGTTCGTAGGATGATGGATGGAGGCATGTAGGATATGAAAATATTTTAAGTTGTCTAAATTAATTTAGTTTTACTATGTATATAATGACAGTTGACAGACTATATTATTTTAAAACCTCCATTGCATTATCTATAGTTACTATCTATTCAATTTAGAGTAATGAATTAATAATAATCAGATATTATAACATCGTTAAAAGCTCGTTTGACCTTAGCTTAAAGAACATTGGTTTTACAGAGGAGTGTTCCAAACATTAGTTGATAAACATTTCCCGGCGCCGGATCGAGAGCGAATCAACAGGTTGCTGGGTTTGGAGCCAAAGAAAGCACCGCTTATCACACTACCAGCGGTCACTAATGGCAAGAATGGTGTCGATGATGATGCCAACACCTCCAAGAGAAAACGTAAGTTGTACAAAATTCGTATACACAAACATAACAGGAATGTTTCAAAATAATTTCTAGAAAATATCATAACTGAAATGATTTCGTAATGAATAATAGCACTAGTGAAATTAATTCTTTAGTGTATCGATATTGTATGGTTATAATTGGGAGCTTAATGTAGGAAGCCTGTTGGTTGACGTCTAAGACGGTTGCGCATTCAGATGACTGAAATTTTTTGCATTACAGTATAGAGATGAAATGAACAATAATGATGATAATATTGTCTAAGAATGTGGCCAAAAATTTTATAAACTACGGTATTTCACAACCTCTATGACTAATCAAGACGTACTGTATTGGACTACCAGCCAAAAAAAGCTTTCCTTAAGAGGCATAATCACTTATTTAACTATAAAATTATCAATGAAAAAGCATATACCGTACACACTACAAAGCTTTAATAGTGTGTCTTTCTACTGGCGTATAAATTTTTCCTTAATTTTGTTCTTAATAATTGCCGGAGTATGGTATTTTCTATAAAAAGACGATCACGACAAATTATTTGTATTAAATACGATGGTTAATATACATTATTTCCGAAAATAGAAATGTATACAGATACTATAAATAAAGTTTTGTACCTGCGCGATGCCGGTTCTGATATCGACATTTTTCATCAAAACGAAAAAGCAAATACATATTTCGTTTGAAAACTTTCCCTCTATTATGCGCGCTATTTTATTGTTGAGGATATCAAATTATCTATGATACTAGAAAACCTCAGGGACAAAATAAGAACTGTGTAATAGTAAATGTATTCTTGACGTGTTTTGAAATTTTAAAAGCTCATGACATGACATGTCAGCTCCAACCATACATTGTTCTTTGTCCAAGCTTTGACCCGACCTCTATTAATGTTTTTCAATTTACAATATTTTTTTGCCTTGGTTTGTTTTCTAAACCGTATTTATTTGATTTATTAACTTAAATCTGTTAATTATCACTTTTCATGAGACCAAGATCAGTCTAAAATTGTTAGCAGTGTTACGCAATTTGAACGCGCTACTCTTGACATTAAGATTGGGCATTCAAAACTCGGCAATAAAGTGTTTGAGTACGCAGTCAATACTTAGTCATACGGTGATGGAGAACATCGTAAGGAAACCGGTATGATTAAGACCCAAAAATCGACAAGACTCAGGCACAGAAGGTTGACAACAAGAAAATCACCTGCATCATGAGCACACCCCAGATGGTGTATATGATGTACGTACATACTTTTAATTTCACATCATCACACAGAACTGCCGAATTAGGTATTTCGTAGTTAATAATTTTTATTGTATATTTATTTATTTATATATAGTGTAATTGTTTGTTATATATAATATAAATATAACTAACAATTACACTAAAATATAGCCTGTGATGGAATAAATAATATTGAACTACAAAAAGGTTTAAAAAAATTACAAAAGAAAACAAACAATAAAAATTATTCAATTATTTGGTACCTAATTTGGCTGTGTTGTATGATGGTGTAAAAGTGGGGGTAAGTACGTGAAGGTGTGTATGTGGGGTATGCTCATGACGCAGGTGATTTTGCGCTATTGATATTCTTTTTACTCCTTTTAACCTTAGTATATATAATTTATGTTAGCTGTAGGAATACGAAATAAATAAATAACACAAGTGCAAGATGAGATCTATATTTATTAGGTTGCAGCGCCACTGGATTAGTGTTATTTATAATTGGTTTACAAAGGCATAGCAAATACAAAGTTGCATTTCGAACAATAAACAGTGACGTCACGGCAACAAGCGAACATGGCAGCCAAGCGTGCTCGTGGCGGCTCATCCAGCGATAAATTCTTCCGTGGGTCAGAAGACGAACTGGAGCTGGAACCAGATTCGGATGAAGAGAGACGCGTATCAGACTCGGATTTGAGTGACACCAACCCTTTCCAGTTTAGTCAAAATTCAAAATTCAAAAATCATTTATTCACGTATTCAATGTACACTTGTGATTCGTCATTAAAGATTAGTGGTAGCGACATTGACAATGGTGATTAATATTTATTCTGTCCTTATAACGCAACTCTATTTTAAAGGAATCATACATTAAAGCGTGGGCATGTATAATTAAAAATTAAAAATAGAATTGCAATATTGTGATAACTAAGCTTTATTTAATACTATTTTTATTTGGAAAAAGTCTATTTTGCGTATAATTTTTTTCAATTTAGAATATATATGTACTAATGTACAATGCTCGCTGTTCACAGTTTATATTAGGAATTATAACGGCGTGTGTATAATTTTTTACATTCATACAGTTTACTTAATCTTACATGGTATGGTGACAGTGCTGTATGAACAGTTTTGTAACGATATTGATTTACTGGTGAAGTTATTTATTATTAATTAGCCGATCGCCTGTAAATTACAAACCAATGTCACTAAATTTTATTGTTTTACTACCCTATTTAATGATAGTACAAAATTTCGTATATGTATAAAATAATTTAAATTGGTATATATAGTTGGTACATTTATAATGTGACTGAAATATTGGTGCGTTATGGAACTTAAATCAACGAATATTCTCATAACATTATAACATAAATAAGTTCCTTTCATCAAAGCTAAATATGAAGTACAAGTTGAAAGCTCTGAACACCATACCTACTACATATAAGTTGCTTTTTATGTAACTACAAGTTACAACTTAAGAATATTGTCGGTCCAATTATGGAAGCTATTTTCGCTTCCTAGAAATGAATTTCCAGCTTTCAAAATCAATACTGAAAACGGATTCGCAGTAAACTAATCTCACAGTTTGCGATGCGAATTATTAGCTACAATTTTACAACAAGTTCGCTGCGGGGCCTTCGCTATTCATGGATTAAAATTAAATCTCAAAGAGCGTAATAGGTGCACAAATATTGGTACGGTTCGGTTATTATTGCATTTCACATTAATAGTAATTGAAAACTCATGGTGGTTTGATATTATGCTATGAGTGTTTTTATTTGTAGGTCTTTAACTGAATTCAAACAATACATTAGGTGAAATAGAAATAAAAGTAATTTAGTTAGGATTTTAAAGCGGCAAATACGAGAATACCGTTTTATATATATAATGTTGATATTAATTGCCAGACGTAAGACATTTCTAATTATATTATGAGCAAGACGGGTGTTGACGTGCAATTAGAGAAAGTAAATATGAAATTTAAAAAAGATTATGTAGGGTACAAGTTTAAAATTCCTAAGGTTAAATTATCGATGTTTATGGATGAGAACTTATGGCCTTGTGGGGTATCTTACCGCAGGTTTGTACAGTTTAACCATTGGAAAACAAGTGATGAACAGAAATTAATTACTTAAAATGGATAAAAATAACCATAAGACACATAAAATTATGAGTTTCAACTGTAAGAGCCTAAAGAGATCTATGGATATAATAGCACTCCAAGAAACCTGGCTATTACCAACTAAAAAGTACCGGATTTGGGGTTATTAAACAAACACTTTTCTTATTTTGGTAAATCGGCGATGGACATTAGCAGTGGGTTATTGCGTGGCCGTCCTTACGGTGGCGTAACCCTGTTATGGAGAAATGATTCATTTCAATCGGTGACTGTGATCCCCTGTGTGAGTGAGCGTATTGTTGCGATCAATGTGTGTCGCGGACCGGTCTATGTTATTTTTTAATGTGTATATGCCTACAAACGAGCTTGATAATTTATGTGAATTTGTTGAATGCCTTAGCGAAATATCTGCTATAGTTGAGAATGAAAATATTGAATCTATATATTATGTGTAAGGAGATTTTAATGCTCATCCCGGCAAATTATTTGGAAATAAAATGTTAAGCTTTTGCGCAGAGCAGAATTGGCTATGTGCGGACATTGAGAGACTAGGTATTGACTCTCAATCATATACTTACACTAGCGATGCGCATGGTACCTGTTTGTGGCTTGACCATTGTTTAACTACTATGGCCGCATGGCGAACAGTAGTAAATGTAAAAATACATTATGATGTCTTCTGGTCAGATCACTTTCCATTGGAGGTCGAATGTAATCTTGAATGGGTTAAACCCATGACTATTCCGCCTAATATTGGTAATGTAAATAAAATTATATGGGGTGAGCGCACAAGAGATCAAATTTATATGTATTTTAAATATTGTAATGATAAATTGAAATTAATAGATTTTCCTCTAGAATTAAGCAAATGTTGTGATAATATGTGTACTAATGTGAATCATCTATCTGTGATAAATAATTTATATATGTGTATAATTAATGTTTTAACTGAATCCTCTATTAATTGTTACGAAAATTTTAGTAATAAGTGTGGAATAACCCATGGGAGAATTCGACCATTGAGGGTGGAACAAGCAAGTCCGCAGTGCTCACCAAGATGTTAGACAAAAATTTCTTTGCTGGGTTTGGAACGGGAAACCTCGGAAAGGAACTGTTATGGTGGAATCGAGGAAACTATTCAAAAAAAAGGTTAAATTTTGTCAAAACCACCAGGAGCAAATAAAAATGAATATTCTTGCTACAAAACATGAGCAAAAAGACTTACGAGGTTTCTGGAAACAAACTAGGAAGCTGGTATCCCGGTGAGCATTGATGGTGAGTGTGAACCTGTGAAGATTGCTAACCTGTTTAAGAACCATTTCAGGGTACAATTACTTGGACAGTTAAGTGGGGGTGCAGGTGCTGGTGTGGTGGATCCGAGTCGACCCTCGCAAGTACCACCTCGGATAACAGCAAAGGAAATAGCTATGATAATAAATAATATTACTAAGGGCAAGTCTCCTGGTCATGACCACCTCAGCATTGAGCACCTTCAACACGCTGGTCCGCATTTGCCTAGATTGCTGGCGCTCTTATATACCTTCTGTATCAGACATTCGTATCTGCCCAGTTCTTTAATGAGAACGGTCGTTGTCCCGATTTTAAAAAACAAAACAGGCGACGTATCGGACTGTAACAACTATCGGCTGATCTCCCTGGCAACCATAACTGCTAAGGTACTCGATGCAGTGCTCGAGCGGCAGGTGAGTAATCATCTTAAATTAAGTGATGCTCAGTTTGGTTTTAGACCCATGTTATCTACCGAGTGTGCAATCCTGTCGCTGAAGCATGTGGTAGGATACTACACGGAGAGGAATACGCCTGTTTATGCAGTGTTTCTTGATCTTTCGAAGGCTTTCGACCTGGTCAGATACGACTTGTTGTGGGGTAAGTTGAGGCAGACGGGTGTACCGGGACCTTACGTGGACCCCATTGGTACGAGCGTCAGACCAATCAGGTAAGATGGTCAAACACACTGTCGGAAGAGTACAGGTTGGAATGCGGGGTGAGGCAGGGGGGTTTAACCTCACCGGCGCTTTTCAACCTGTATATAAATGAGCTGATCGAGGCGCTCGGTGGCGCACGTGTCTGCTGCTCGATCGATGGTCACTGTGTGAATAGCATCAGTTACGCTGACGACATGGTGCTGTTGAGCCCATCGGTCGGTGCTCTCCGGCGGTTGTTGTCCGTCTGTGAGAGGTACGCGGCATCACACGGGCTCCGCTATAATGTTAAAAAAAGTGAACTGCTCGTCTTTAAGGCAGCAAAGAAAAAACCGACTTATGTGCCACCAGTAACACTCGGAGGTGTTCCACTGAAGAGCGTTACTGAGTTCAAATACCTTGGCCATATTGTAACTGAGCACCTTAAAGACGATGCAGATATTGAAAGGGAACGGAGAGCGTTGGCTGTCCGCTGCAATATGCTGGCCCGCAGGTTCTACCGTTGTACCGCACAGGTAAAGGTAACCTTGTTCAAGGCGTTTTGCCAGTCCTTTTATACATGTGCCCTGTGGGTTAGATATACGCGGCGGGCATACAATGCTCTCCGAGTGCAATATAATAATGCTTTCAGGATGTTGTTGGGGCTCCCGCGGTACTGTAGCGCATCAGGTATGTTTGCGGATGCACACGTGGATGATTTTTCGTCAATCATCCGCAAACGGACAGCCTCACTGATGCGTGGGGTTCGTGCGAGTGCTAACAATATCCTGAGGGTTATAGGTAAAACAGAATGTGCTGTTTTGAGACATTGGGTTCATATACATGCCTGTGTACCTGGTGCCTCGAATCAACGTAGATATATGAATTAAATGTTTTCTTCTTTGTGTCTTTAATAATTTTGCTAATTTAAATTTTACTAACATAGTTATTAGTATTACTTTACTAACAGTATATGGACTTTTTAATGGTCTGATTTAAATGATTTTAAAAAAAAAAATTTTTTTTAAGAATAAGCTTGTCACAGATCCAATCGGAGGATTAAAATGCCTTCATTGCCTATTAAAGCAATAGGGTTCGAAATTACACCGTTTTTAGATATACATACATATAATTATAAACCTTCTTCGAGAGATAATTTATTGGACAGCTCTGAAAGCAGCTGAAATAGGTGCTCAATTAGCAGCATCAAATGTTTGATAGAAAGAACTACTTTCGTTATAATTGTTCGTTATTTATATTGATTGGCGTTAATTGGACTTTTTAAAATGCTCATAATATACGAATGTCGTTACACTTTCGCGGTTACTTCATTGAGCTTTTTAAAATATTTATTAAAGCTTTAATCCATGACGCTGGCGGGAAATAGATATGAACACAAAAATTGAAACCCATTATCGTTGATAGAACCCTGGGTAAATCGCAAAAAGAAACAAACGAAAAAGAAAAAAGTAGCAGCGAAGAAGAAAAACACGACACAAGACAAGATTGAAACGATGTTTGAGAAGAAAAACACAACGCCTACAGTCACAGTCAAAACTAACAGTGGCCAGAGTCTTACCGGCACCCCCGTTGGCACCAACGGGTTATATCTAGGTAATTAATTATTAAGTAAATTAACTATATAGTTAAGTATTAATTTAGGTTTGCTTTTATTTTATACTATTGTTAGAACAATGTTCTCTTTTTCGAACCGTACCGGCTGTGCTATAGACTTTGTTTATTGCGCATTTAATACTCGCTCGTACGGTGAAAGAGAACATAGTGAGGAAACAAAAAGTTGATAACGTGTGTCGAGCACAGAAGGCTGATCACCTACTTGCCTATTAGAAAAATCAAATGGGAAAAGCAAGATACAGATAGAGAAATATGAGGCCAAGACCTCAAAGGTTGTAGCGCCACTTCTTTTTATTTTTAAGGTTCTACACCTAAATTTGTCAGATGGGTCTGCTTTTCTAGTTTGTTTTATAAAGACCTAGTAGTAGGTGTGTGGTAATGAGTTTGGATAATATATAAGGCGTGAATTGATTTGCCGTTGTTATACCAATGACATTATTATGAGATATTTTTATGAAAATTCATTTGCCATTAGTGTATGTTAAAAAAAAAAAAATTATACACAACTATTTTATGAAATTTATTTTTGAATTTCAATACAATATCTTAACTTTTAGAAAATTTTAATATTTTTACCTACTCATATATAAAGGAAACGTCCCGTATTACTGGCATCAAAAGTTGTTTTGCTAAAGAGAAATTTAAACCACCCACGGGTTTTCAAACCGGCAGATTTTCAGAATGGCTCTCCACAAAAATTTCCTATTCAAAACCTTTAAAACCTATTTTTCCGGCGTAGGTGTGTTGTCTGTAAAATACAAAAGTCAATAGGTATTTTATAGGTCTGATTACTCTCTCTCTGATACTCGGTCTGATTCATTACGTAAAATAATAAATCAATACGTAAAGAATACTTTGTCTCAAGATTAGGTGAAGTCGCTTCAGCTATTGAGTACCCGTTATAAAAATAAGATGATCAAAGATTATTTATAAGCTTATAACAAAATAAACTCATGGTAACTTAGCAACAGGCTCCTCGTGTCTCAAGGATCTTTAGGAGGAAAATATATTTTCTATTTTATTTTCTCCATCTTTTAGTCGATACCAACTCCGGGGAAATAAATACAGATAATGCAACTTTCTCTACAGCTGTGATACTTTTTGACATCCAACACCTTTTGCCTTCAGTCACCGTGACCACGCACGCTGTAAAGCACGCGAAACGTCGGATAAATTTAAAATTATGTTAAATAATTGTAAATTTATAATAATACATAACTTTAATCCGGTAAAAAGTTTTTTCTTTATATTTTCTATTTATATTTCCAAGAATTGACGTCGATAAGTTGGGGAGCTTTGTAACTAAGAGGTATTAATTTGATTTTAACAAGCGCACATCTCTGTGTGTATTTTTGACTAGACTGCTTTGTTTGTGTTGGGGCTTAATTACAAGGGGACAAGTTAATATATGTATAGAAATAGGTATTGAAATTAAAATTTCCCAGACGAACCAATATAATATTTCTCTTTGATGTAGTACCATTCTATTGATATAATTCATAAATGAGGAAGCTATTCGGCGATGCAAATTGAATGAGACTGTCTAGTGCAGGTGCTAGGGATGGCAGTTACACTTTTTTATTCTATAATATTTAAGCTTGCATTTAATAAATATGACTTGAAATATTGCTTTTTTTGAAATATCATTTTATTTATTCTTACTATTGAATGTATATCTTAACTTTTATGCACGCATAAAGTACAATTCAAAGAAAACGGAACAAAAATGAACTGCAATCGTGAGACTTAAGTCGTTTAAGTTAATTGAAAAACCGTCAAAATATGTTAGAAGACAGGACTAGCTCTAATTCATAATATAAAGAAATGGTAAATACGGCATCCGTCGTCAAAACATTGAAGTAAATGCGTTCAAAGTAAATTTGGTAACCCTATCCCGGGCTGCAGGCCGGCTGCATCGATTGCTCCCGGTTCTTCGAATGTCCCAACACCCACCTCCACCCCTACACGTGTACACCTATATCTCTATTTATTTTGAAGGCCCTTTGTGCGCCTGCCGATTTAATAAACATCATTTATTGGACTGATGTTTGTTTGGATCCAATAACATCCGTTTTTTTGCATCCGAAAGTTAATAAGTCTTTTTGTAGTAATGACATTTGGTTTTACATTAAATGTACTTTTGGCTATATATTTCATACTTTTAGAATCATGTGGATATATAATTAGAGCATTTGTTATAGTATAAATGTAATGTAATGTAAATACTTTAAACTTTTTCTTGGGAACATAATTGATAAAGAGAAGCTCGCCAAGTTTCTTGACGAACTTTCTAAGCGCGCATATGGCGCATACTTTGACTGCAAGGTTTAACATACTTTTATAGGTTACGAGCTGCCCCCGCGAACTTCGTTTCTACTTAATGTGAGCTAGCCTACCTTTTTAGTACATACCAACATGGAACATTTTGCTATGCTACCTCAGAGACTGTTCGGTTTTCTGGAATGAAAACTTTTTAGGTTTTTCTGGGAATTTTTGTCTATATAAACCTCAGAGTTCAAGTCATAAGAATTTAATTAACAAATAAAAAATAGGGGTTAGGTTATACCACTGTAGAATCCTTATTAAATGCGCTAACTTTTAAAGCAACTTGCCAAACTGGAGTAATACATTTTTTTTTCAGGACGATCAGTTGAAGTAGTGCGAAAATTAATTTTGAAAACTTGGTACGGTATAAAATGACATTTTCCTAAAAGTTGGAGTGATCAGCACAGAGTTTAGGATCATAGGTTACATAAAACACTATTCGGGATGACGTTAGAGAAAAAAAATTGGCAAAAAAGTAAATATTTGTAACAACAGGAATGAAAAAACTGTCACATGGTGTGTATCCATAACTTCAAAAATACACGACTTATTTTTTTTTTAAATTTTTCTGATAACTGGTGTGGCATTACCTATGAGAAGATTTCGACTTGACGTCGACTTTTGGGACACCCTGTATATAGAGATCATAACCTATTACAACACAAACATAACAAACATTACAAAAAAGAAAACAATTACTAAACAAAGCAAAAATTCAAATTACAGAAATCTAAACAGAAATCCATTTTATAGTGTGAGCAATTATACCTAGCTCGTTTATAAGAATGCTTAATCTGGACATCGGTGAGCTTTGACCAAAACGCGTTCTACGGAAAGGAGGGACAAATGGAATAATGGGATGCCTGGGGTATCGAGAACCCTCTCGATACCCCAGGCATCCCGGAACACGGAACTTAAATTGAGATTTATTTATTTATTTATTTATTTATTTATTTATTTTGTAAACCTACAGCTAACATAAATTATATACAATAACAAACAGTTACATTAAAAATATATCCAAATATGGAATACATAATAATACATTTAACTACAAAATGGTTCAAGAATTTATAAAAGGAAACAAACAAATAAAAACTATTCAATACGTTTATCTAAGGGTACCTAATTTGGTTGTGTTGTATGATGGTGTAAAAGTGAGGGTAAGTACGTGAAGGTGTGTATGTGGGGTATGCTCATGATGCAGGTGATTTTGCGCTATGGATATTCTTAATACTTCTTTTAATCATATTCCGCGACAGCTTAAACAGGTCAAGGCTTAAATATTGGTCGTTGTATGTCCGGGCTGCGCGATACAAAACTGAGTTCCTTGCATAGTTAGTGTTAATGTGAGGAACATGGAACAAAGCACGATTACGAGTCTGGTAGGCAGGAACAAGGAAGGGCAATTTTTCTAGAAGGGAGCTACAATTCATTTTATTTGAGATGATGTCATGTAGTAGCAATAAATCATATTGTTTTCGTCGAGAGTCTAAAGTATTAATTTTAAAATGTTCACACGCGTCATTATATGTATTAAACTTATTGTAGGTCTTATAGGAGATAAATTTTATGAAGTCTTTTCAATTTTTTCTTTGTGTACAGTGTAACTAGGTGACCAAACCGAGCAACCATATTCGAGAATACTTCTTACGTATGTATAGTATAGCACTTTCATACAGTCGACATCATGAAAATGTTCACTAACACGTCTTACAAAACCAAGCTGCTTATAGGCCTTGTCAACTATTGTGTCAATATGGTTATTATACGTCATTTTATAGTCTAACCATATACCTAAGTCACGAACACAATCTACTTCTTTTACAGATTTGTTATTAATATGATAGCTAAAGTTAATTTTGTTTTTTTTTCTGGTGAATGTTATTTTGACACATTTATTAACCGATATTCGATTTTGTCTATAATAATTGGAAAGGTTATTTAGGTCGGCCTGAATTTTGTGACAGTCTCCTTCTTTGTTTATTTTTAAATATATCTTTTTATCATCAGCGAACATAAGGTAATTTGAATCTTTAATGGTACTATTTATGTCATGAAGATATGCATTGTATAACAGGGGACCCAATATATATAAGAGATAGGAGGTTCGGGCAATCAATCAGATTATTGAATATCTTAACTGCAAACGATATATCAATTGATTTTCTGCGATTCTCCAGTGACAACATGTTAAAGTGCGCCAGCCTCGTTTCGTACGTTGGCAACTTTTTTTTCGAGATGCCACTGGAGAAAAATACCTGTAGGCCTTTATTGTACTTAAAAAGGGCCTTAACATTTCGACGCGTTTGCTTTTTGCAAAGCTCCGCGTGTGGACTTTTTTTGATCATTGTTGCGTAAAATCTTTTACGCTATAAAGCAATCAAGCGACAAACGCATCAACATCTAAAAATACATCTTATAGGATCATGTAAGCCTGGTAAGTATATAAACTAATCTATATTAAAATACAAATATATTTTTATTATTAATTTTATTTATTTATCTAGCATATACAATAATTAGGTAAATAAGTAATTATTATGATAGCCTACCTTTTGGGCCGCAGATTTATGTATATGTTTCAAATTATTTGTTAATCTAATAGGTGATCATTCTGTGCCTGACACACGCCGTCGAATTTTTGGATCTGAGGCAACTT